TTGGACCCCCTGAATGTTTTTTCTCTTTCCCCCCCCCACCCCCCCCCCCGCCATCCTGCCCCTGCCGCCGGCGCCCAGCTACCGATAGCCCCCAGTCTGGTGGGTCTCACGGCGCACCGCAGAATATGAAGAGCGGTCAGAACCAAGAAAGCCAACGGACATGCACCCGATGTTCGCCCCCCGATCATTCCCAGCAGGCCGGTGCTTGACCCTCTCGGGCAGCCCCTTCCCCCCGCCCCCCCGGCCCGGCCGCCCTCTTCTTCCTCCCGACGGCCCCCCTCTCCCCACGCGGGCTCTCACTGCTGCTGCTGCTCCTGCTGCTCCTGATTCTCCAGCTGCTCCTGCTGCTCCTGCTGCTCCTGCTGCTCCTGCTGCTCCTGCTGCTCGCTGTCAGTCCGCTTCCGGCGAAGGGAGCAACCAGACGCTATGCGCATCTGCCGGTGTCTTTGGCTCAGGGGAAGGTGCATTGATGGAGCCCAATCGCGGCGGGGAGATCTCAGGAGTGTGTTAGACCGCCGGCGGCCACAAAAAGCGCGGCGCATCGTTGGCGGAAGATGGCCGCCGGCGGGCGTCTGCCGGGATCAGTCTCCCAGCTTGCCTGGATCATGTCCATGGCATCCGGGCCAAGGGCGGAGGTGAAGGCAGGCCGCTGACCGGCCTGAACGGCCGCCACGATTTCGGCAAAAGCCTGCTCATGCCAGGGATCAGTGCGGGACAGACACTCGTTGAGCATGACCGCCGCGCTGTAAATGTCCGCCGGCAGGAAAAGCCCCCGCTCCAGGGCGACACCACGCTGGAAGGCGCCGAGCACCTCGGGCGCCGCGTACCGCACCGTCATGGCATTCAGCTCGGGCATGGTGTTGGCGAGGACCGACGACCGGTCGGCGCTCAGGTTCCGCGATGTGCCCAGGTCGCCGAGGGCCACGCGCCAGCCCCCGTCCGGGCGCTGGCTCACAAACACATTGCCCGGCTTCAGGTCGCAGTGGGCAACACCATGCGCGTGCATGGCCTCCAGCCCGGAGACCCACTGCTGGCAGATGTCCGCCAGCTGCAGGGCCGAAAGTGCGACCTCCGAGTGCAGCAGCGTGTCCAGATCCGTCTGGTAGCGTTCCATCACAATGGCCGGCGGCTGATCGCTGTACCCGAAGAGGCGCACGATGTTCCCATGCTCCCGGAGCAGCCACATCAGGGCCACCTCATTGTGGAACATGGCGTGGTGCATCGGCTGCATGGCCTCCGTGCGCATCCTCTTCACGGCCACGACATCCGGACAGCCCAGGCGCGCCATGATCCCCGTGCCCACCGCCTGCGCCGCATAGACCGATGCCTGGGTCCCGG